CTTTCCCAAGCCCCCGGTGATCTGGAGACTACGCCATCGATGCGGGCACATGCGAGGGTGTAAAATAGCTTTTTATTTCTCCCATTGGACCAACTCTGACACAAACAGACAGACGGTGGCGGCTGCTGCTAGTCAAAGAGACCGAATCCCATGTCCTCATCAGACTCCTCCGATTCCTCCTTCACCGCCTCTTTCGCCGGAGCGGCGGCAGCAGCAGCAGCTACCACAGGGATGGCCGCCACACACAAAAGCAGGTCTGCCAGGAAGGCCTTCACCTGCAAAAAGAGGGGGGAAAAAAAGGAGTAAACTCAAAGGAAACGAACATTTTGAAGGACTGAACTTTGCGATCATAAAGGCAACACTTGCAGCTTGCCAGAAGCCAAACAGATGCACTTGTCACTGCCGTGTATGAAGGATCGGAGACAATTCAGCTACACTCAAGTGTAATAGCCCCAGGGAGGGAGGAACACCAGGTAATTCAGCTTCCTCCTGCCACTCGCACATAACATATGAAAGCAAGCGCCCCTTTTCAGGACAGGCCCCTCGCGCACGGGCAGGTCCAAGGTGACGTGCGAGTGTGAAAGTGCCCGGCTGCGTTTTCAACACCCCTCTGAGCAGCAGATCCCTCAGCCATTACCTTTTCAGCCAGCGGGAAGGTGTAGTCAGTCTCCACCGCCACGGCTAGGACCCGCTTGTACCCGTTGACAATGGAGTGGGGCACAGAAGCGATGGTCGGGTACCCAATTTGCAGACAGACGCTGGCAACGTTACGAACACCCTGTGAGGAGAGAGACTCATGTTCCTGTGCTCTGAGAAATAACCCGGACGAGAAACCACGGCAGATGATGGCACATTTCTACGCTGCCAACGTAACGAGGGATAGCGTGCAATGCACACAAGTAACAGAGCTCCAGTGAAATTAGACACGGCATCAAGATTTAAACGGCCTCAAACGCTTTCTGAAGTCGCTTCAGATGAAAAAGCCTACAGAAGGTCCTCCCTGACAGACTGTTTCTGCGGGGCACCAGGGAGAACTCCTGGCTCTGCAGGACCTCGCAGAAAATACCGGAGATGATACCTCACGCTGGGGCAGTGCTGGCTGCCACAGCAGCGAGGCAGAGAGGCAGAACGTAACGGATACGGGTTGTGGCACTCACCTCCAGGAAGCGCTTGTGCAAGGTCTCCTCAGTGATGTCCAGCACTTCAGGATTATAAATGCTGCCATTGTCAAAGACCTGCTGGATCACCAACCCGAAAGAGAAGGGGGAGATGTTCAGCATGTTCAGCAGGGTGGCTTCGCTGGCACCCACTTTGTCTCCGGTCTTGATGAGCTGCACATCACTCTGAGGAAGCAAGGGGAAAAGGAGTGAATATGCGCAAAGAAATTCAGGCACGTCAATGCAACGGGACACAAATGCACGTTTCCAATGGCAAGAGATGGAACTGAAGGAACAAACGAGCACAACAAAAACAGGCTCCAAGTTCAGCTCCACAAGTTAAGGAAGCCCTAGACCGCGCAAGCAGGTACATCTCAGCTAGGAGAAAGGCAGCGCCCTCCCTGCACTGCCTACAGGTAGCTCGCCCGTGAGCTCCTCCAGCAGAGCCTACCCATGCAGCTGAGACCTGATGGAGAACTTAAATCCCCCTGCGCTGCATACCTGAGCCAAGCCAGACATCCTCCTTCACATTCTCAGTGCAGCAGTCGGACTGCTAACACAGTATCTCAGCACTAACGGGAGCTTTGATCTTTACAGCTCCCTCAACTGCCACAATCAGGGCCCTCCAGCCCAGGAAGAGCTTCAACAGCAGCAGCACGCTGCTCACTAACCAGAATTTCAATGGTCCCTCTGGAAATCTTCGTGGTGATGCCCAAGGCCTGGAAAAAGGAGGTCTTCTCAGGTCCGAGACCAGTGTTCTGGGCCGGCACAGTCACATCGCAAGGAGCAATAGCACCGGCACGGGCAGCGGCTGGCACCTGGAGAAAGGGGAAACGAGAAGCACCTCTCAGGTCTCGCAGGATGGCATCACCTCCTTCCTGAAGCGTTCCTCCAGGATGGGCAGTACCCAGGCACACGCAAGTGAGACAGCTGAACTTAAGCAGTTTGGCTAAGGCTGCAGGGGCCTAGCTCCCAACCCTTGAGGACTCCTACTAATCAGGTATCCCCCACGGAGATTCGGTTTTAGCTTTAATTCCCTCTCTGCCAGCCCAGAGACACGGTGAGGGCTGATCTCCCCTACCTTGTTAGCCAGCAGCATGTCCCGGATCTCAGTCAGATCCTCCTTGGTGAAGACAAAGCCCACGTTCCCACGGATGTGAGGCAGCAGCCTGAAGGAAAGATGACAGCCTTCAGTTCTGCTTCTCAGACAACGTCTCCTCCTCCCAGACAGAGGCTCCAAGAGTACATTCAGACAGCGGTACCCACTTTTCTAAGGCAGGGTTATTCTCCAGGTGACCACGAATAGCTTTGCGCATCATGGTATTCTTCCCCATCAGCACAACAGCCTTCCCGCGCAGGGACATACGGATCTGCTGCATCTGCTTGGATCCCACATTGTCTGCTCCCACAATGAAACATTTTGGGTAATCATCCAGGAGTTGCTATAGCAAGAAAAGCACCGTAACTATACAAAGAAATCTGGACCAGTGCACAGAGCGGCATTAAAACCTCAACGTGTTAAAATGAATGGAAAAAAAAAAAAAATCTGTCAGGAGTTCGAGTGCTCAGCTCAAACTGACGGTGGGTGCACCACACGGCTGCACCTTCCGCTCAGCTACCTAGTTACACCCCTGAACAAGTTCTCTCTGTAACTGCCACGGCGAATTCTCACAGGAGCCTGTGAGGAGGCCTGATCTGGACTCTCCCAATCTCCTCCTACTGCCGCGGAGCCGTTCCTTAAACGGACACGCCACGGCACCCCATTTCTTCTTCAAGAAGACTCCCCCCGCAGACACGCCAGCCCGACTCCCGCCGCCCCGAGCAGCCCCAGGACCGCTCCCCGCGGGCCGGGATCGCCCCCGAAGCCCAGGCGGCGGCAGCGCCCCACCAGGGCCGGGCCTCCGGGGCGGGCCTCAGCCCTCCGGGGCCGCGCCGACACTCACGATGATTTTCATGAAGTAGTTGGACTTCCACGTGGCCCTGTCTTCCCTGGGCATCGCGGCGGTGCTCCAAGGATCG